GGAGTCATCCGCATGATCAGTCACGTGCACGGCGTCAACCCTCATTGATCGTCAGCGTGTGCACGGGAGTCACCCCGTGTGATCTAGTCACTGTGCAGCCGGGAGTCCACCCCCATGATCAGTCCAACGTGCACGGAGTCACCCTTGGGATCGGTCCACGTGCACCGGGAGTCACCCCTTGGGACGGTCAACGTGCGCACGGGAGTCCACCCGCATTGATCAGTTCACTGTGCACGGTGTCACCCAGGGGTGATCAGTCACGGTGGCACGGTGGCACCCAGGTGAACCAGTCACGTGCACGGGAAGTCACCTTGCGTGATCAGTCACGTGTCACGGCGTCACCCCGCGTGATCGGTCACGTGGCGCACAGCGGTCACCCAGGTTGACCATCCACGTGCACGGGACGTGCACCCGCGTCTGATCAGTCCAACGGTGCAACGGCGTCACCCTCAATCGTGGTCAGGGTGCTACTGAGGATCACCGTGTGATCTCAGTCCACGTGCACGAGGAGTTCACCCTTGGGATCGGTCACGTGCACGGGAGTCACCCTTGGGATCGGTCACGTGCACGGGAGTCACCCGCGGGATCTGTCACGTGCACGGGAGTCACCCGAGGGATCTGTCACGTGGCACGCGGTGAGTTCACCCGAGGGTAGTCTGTCACGTGCACGCGGAGTCACCCGAGGATCTGTCACGATGGCACGGCGTAAGCCCGCATGAACGTATCCATGCCATCGTCCCCATGGTTGGTGGCGCGTCCTGCCTGGCGGCTTCCCCGTAAAACTTGTATGGAGTGAAGCCTGATCGGAACGGAGAGCCCCTTTAAGTATCCAAAGCAGCATTTACGTCGAGTACACAGCAGCGTCCCGAGACAGCCACGCCGAGCTCCACGACTTCCCCTTTCCCTTAGGCAGAGCCGCTGCTCCTCTCGCTCAAGCCGTCTCGCGTTGGGCCGCTGCGCCAGTGGGCTCACGCGCTGTCATCCTCGGACTCTGGGAGGCCCGAGGCGGACGGATTGCTTCGAGGTCAGGAGTTCGAGGCACGCCGTGAGGCAAGAACGGAGACCCTGGTCTCTCGTACTATAAATATAAAATAAATTAACTGCAACTTAAAAAAAGAAAAATATCTATAATAGATATTTTTATATATATTTTTATAGTATAAATAAATATATATATTTTTGTCTATATACTAGAAAATATACTTATATATATAGAAAATGAGCCGGCATGTGGCACATGCCTGTAGTCCAGCTACTCGGGAGGCTGAGGACAGGAGGGATGCTTGAGCCCAGGAGTTTGAGGTTACCTGGGAGCTAGGCTGACGCCACTGGCACTCACTCTAGCTGGGCGGCGACAGAGTGAGACTCTGTCTCAAAGAAAAAGACGTCTCGGCTCAGTGCTGTGTGTTGCATGCTTGTGGCGTGTGCCGGCCCTGTTCTGGGGGCCGGGAGCCCGGAGAGGAGGAGCAGGAGGAGCTCCTCTGCCCCACGGGGAGAGGCAGGCGACAAAGGAAGCAGGTGTTGGAGAGGTGAGGCGAGCCCCGCAGCGACTGGGGGCGGGGCCTTGCGAACCTCGCCGCAGGGGAGGGTGTCGGGGCGGGGGTGACGATAGGGGGTGACAGGGTGGGACACACAGAGGGACCCCGAGCTGTTTGGTTGGGGGCCCGCCCCATTGCCAGGGCCCTGCTCTCTGGGGGGCACAGCCCTGAGAACCGGCTGTAGGTGGGGGTGGGCTCTTCCCCCCCACCCCTGCGGGACACAGAGGAGCACGGGATCGGGATCAAACATAGATCTGGGTGAGTGTAGACGCTCGAGGGGCGGGCTCTGCTCGGCTTGCTTTGTACCGTGTTTCCCTGAGAATAAGACCCACACATAGAACACGCCCCAGCAGGATGTCTGAGCATGTGCGCAATAGGAGCCCCACCCCCAAAATCAGCCCTAGTGACGGGCGTGGCTGCGCAGCGCGTCTGCACAACCCATGCGTGTCGTCGCGGAGCGGGAAAGAAGACGAGCACCCCTTCTCATCCGCCCCGTGAGAGCTCTAGTGCTCCACAGGAGAGATCGGGGCCGACGGTTCTAAAGGAAACAGAGTCGCAAGTTCAGGATGGGATTCGGGATTTGGAGAGTGACGATGATGTTCCAGGAGTAGACGACTTCACTCTATTTGAATCAATGTAGATGGTTGTACCGCACTTAAAAAAACAATACATCCCCTGAAAATAAGCCCTAGGGTGTCTTCTTGAGGAGACATAAACATAAGGCCCCGTCTTATGTTCGTGGAAACGCGGCACCTGGTTTCTACGGCCGCCCTGGACTCGGGTGCCGTCTGTCGTCCGACGACGGTTTTATGATCGAAAAGAAGCGTTGGCTGTGCCCGGCTCTGGAGCTGGGAGGGGCCCCTGTGTCCGGGAATCCGTGTCATTGTCCTGACGCTCGGGCTGGGGCGGGGAGAACCTGCCACAGCCGTCCCTCCCTCCACCCTCTCCTGAGGGTCAGCGGGAGGACCGGATAGCAGGTGGAGCACGGGGACAAAGGTCGCGAGTGAGCCCCTCCCCCAGCGGACCAGCCCAGGCAACCGGCCCCAGGTCACAGTCGCAGCTCCGGGCTTTGGAGGTGGCGGGGGAGGGAACGTGCACGGAAACCCCCTGTCCACTGCCCCAGCTGCGCCAGAGGGTCCGGCTGTCCCAGCATCTGAGTGGCCGTGGGCCGCCCGCACGAGTTAAAAATCCCAGCTACTCGGGAGGCTGAGGCAGGAGGATTTCTTGAGCCCAGGGGTTGAGGTTGCTGTGAGCTAGGCTGAGCCACGGCACTCACTCTAGCCTGGGCAACAAAGCAAGACTCTGTCTAAAAAAAAAAGAAAGAGGTAAGGTGGTCAGTCAGATCGTAGCACACATGCTGTGATACAAGGC